ATCTGCAGTGTATCAAATACTTGTTCTCCCCACTGTATATGTGATTGACAAGACAATTGATATGATGATTGGGACGGCAGTGGTTAGTACTCCGGTGACGACGAACGCCGAAGCCTGCCCGAACAAGGAGGGGAGGCAGCCTCGGCGGAAGTCGTGACAGAATGAGTAGGTGTGTCCAAACTTTTGACTGGTACTGTATGTTAAACACTACTATTGCACACAGAGTCCGTGCAACTTATTATGTGATTTGTTAAGCATATTTTTACTCCTGAATTTATTTAGGCTTGCCATAACAAAGGGGTTGAAAACTTATTGACTTAAGACATTTCAGCTTTTCATTTGTTATTAATTTGTAAAAATGTTGAAAAACATAATTCCACTTTGATATTATGGGGTATTGTGTATATGCAAGTGACAAAAAATCTCAATTTAATCCGTTTTAAATTCAGGCTGTAACACAACAAAATGTGGAAAAAGTAAAGGGGTGTGAATACTTTCTAAAGGCAATGTATATACTGTAGGTACACAGACAATATCACACACAATGCATACACTATAAATACACAATGCACACACACACACACACACACACACACACACACACACACACACACACACACACCACACACCTCCCTCTCCACCCGCAGTTGCTGTAGGACATGTTATATAGAACACATCCTGTGGGACTGGCAGTATTGGGGAGCACTGCCTAACAAAATGAAAAAAAGATTGAGATGTATAGCTTTTGTGTCTCTCGTTTCTCTCCTCGCTGTTGTCATGGAAACTCTACGATACAGACAGCAGTCCTTCTGTCAGGTTGTCACATGGTCCTCACAGTTTTTCTCTGACGCTTTGAAATGTGTGTCTGTATGCGAGTGTGTGTGTGTGTGTGTGTATTACGGAGCTGGCCATATAACATTTTTTTTTCTCACGTGGATAAGAAACGATTAGGAGAGGCCCTCGGCACCACATTCGTCTCACACACAAAAGCAGCGCCGGTTTGTTTGTGAAAATGACTGATTTGTGTGTGAATGAACAGCCTGGTCTCATAGACTAGACGTAACATAGTAAACATAAATCAAATCAAATTAGTATGATATGTTACGTATAGTATGGTTACATAAGACAGAAGGTTACTTAAGGCAAAAACTATAGTAGAGTGATTGGTTGGGGCGGATGGGTAGGCTTTGCAGCTACTTACTACCTTTTAGCTAGTTTGCAACTACTTAACATGTTAGCTAACCCTTTCCCTAACCCTAACCTTTACCCATTAACTTAACTCCTAACCCTAACTCCTAACCCTAACCTTAACCCTAACCTTTTTTTTTGTTCTTCTTTTTTTTTTAGGGGGTAGATCCGCTTTATTTATTTTTATTTTATTTATTTTTTAGGGGGTAGATAAGCTTTAATATTGCAGATAGATTGTAACTTCCATCAATGTAATTGTCTGCATCACTTCCAATCCCCCATATTCTTTTTTTTTTTTTACATTTACATTGTATATTGTTTACATTATATATATATATATATATATATATATATATATATATATATATATATATATATATATATATATATATATATATATACACACACATACATACATATACACATATACATACATATATACATACATATCCTTTAAAAATATATATATTTCCCTTTATTACTTTCCAACCCCACCATCACTTCCCTAATTGGAGTAAACTAGTGAACAACAATGCTTAGGCCTCTACTTCATGCTTATACATACTATATACATTTTATGGACACAGTCAATAATTATATTTTGTTTGTTTTTACTCCTGAACTTCCTCCGATCATTTTCATGATGTCCATCTGGTATGCTTCTATATGCCATATCTTTCTAACTGTACTCTTTCACAAAAACTCACAATATATAACCTATATACTTATTATGGACACAGCATGTCTTACACTAGTTATCTTGTTGTTATTAGTTGTTGTTATTAGTCCCATCCTTCAGCTCCATTCAACACCTCCCATCTATCTCTTAACACCATCCATATTGGATTTCTATTTGCCATATATTTTTCAACTGTACTGTGATGTTTTACAAAAGTTCTGAACCTTTCTATTCTCATTGTTTCTACAGTTTGTAAATTGAAAATAAACATTTTTGCTAAAAGTATTATTATATTATTGATCGATTGACTATGACTTTTCAGATCACCCAGTAGTGCTATCTGCAGGGTCAGCTCCATGCAAATATTGCAATCCTTCAGCCATTCCTGGACCTGTGTCCAGAAACAAGCTACAAATGGACAGAACCAAAACAAATGATCTAATGATTCTGTCTCTTCGCAGCAAAATCTGCAGAGCTGGGAAGATTGTATCCCCCATACAAATAACATTATATTGGTAGCAAGGATTTTCTATAATAATCTAAACTGAAAAATTCAAAGTTTTGAATCCGGCGTCGTTTTGCGTATCAGTTCATAAACACTATGCCATGGGATCGGTACATCAAAAATCTCTTCCCAACTATTTTGCAATCTATATGGGACGGCTGTCAATCCTTTGGTCCTTAAATGAAACTGGTATACTTTGTTATTTATCACAGTTTTCTTTAACCAATTATATTCTTTAATGCAAGGCCGACAGACAAGTTCCTTACATTTTCCCCCTTCCACTTTCCTCTTCCATTTTTGCGGTAATGCTGCAATTATTTGGTTGTAATTTTGGGTAGAGCAGACATTTCCATATGTTTTTGTTAGCTGCATGTGCGACATAACTCCACCAGTCCTACAATGATATCATTTACGAAGATTATACATTTTTTAAATGTTTTTAATGTTTTTTTATCAATTAGTATATTTGAGTTTAACCACAATATTTGTTGCATTATTTGTTCTGTCGTTTCTGGAGGATTAAATTGAAATTGCAACCAACTTTCTATGGCTTGTTTTAGAAATATTGATATTTGGGAGATATAATAACTGAAAGTGTGAGGTTGTATAAAGGGAAAAAAGGCCATTCTTGAACATTGGGTGAGACAATCTTACTAATCTTACTAATTTGCTAGAGAACCAGTTTGGATTTAAGTATAACTTTTGTATGACTGAAGCTTTTAGTGATAGGCCTAACGCTTTAATTTTTAATATTTTCTGTCCTCCGAATTCATAATCATTATATAAATAGGCCCGTTTAATTTTTCAAAATAAAATGAAATATTTTTTTCTCATTTAATTTTAAAAACTGTTCGCTAGGCAAGACCATAAGCAAATAGGTAAACTGGGATAATACTAAAGAGTTAATCAAGGTGATTTTTCCACAAATTTACAGGTATTTACCTTTCCATGGTAGCAAGATCTTATCAATTTTTTGCTAACTTTCTATTAAAATTGATTGGAGTGAGATCATTTATTTCATTTGGGATATGTATTCCGAGTATATCCACATCACCAGCAGACCATTTTATTGGTAAACTACATTGTAATGTAAAATTTATATTTTTTAGTGATCCAATACGTAATATAGTACATTTATCATAATTTGGTTGTAATCCAGAGAGGTTAGAAAATGTATCTAGATCCTCTATGAGGCTGTGGAGGGATTCAAGTTGTGGATTTAAAAGAAAAAACTTTCGGAGAAATAGCCATTATTTACTATTTTACACCTAGGGTTACTATACATGATTTTAACCCATTTTATAAGAGATTCTCCAAAATTGAAATGCTCCAGGCACCTTAACCCTAACCTTAACCTTAACCCTAACCTCAACCCCTAACCCCTAGCCTAGCTAACATTAGCCACCTAGCTAACGTTATCATTAGCCACCTAGCTAACGTTAGCCACAACAAATTGGAATTCGTAACATATCATGCAAAATGGATGATGGACATCCACTAATTAATACATACCATACAAAACGTAACATATCATACTAATTGGAGTGTCCCGGATTTACATTTATTATGTTTCGTCTACCCCTGAGTCCAGGTTGGTTTGAAAAAATACTCTCATATACTGTAAGAGGTGCAAATCTGAGGGAGAAAGGGGAATAAAACAAGGGAAAAGAGGATGAGAAAGCGAGAGGGGAGAGGTGATGAGGAAGAGATGAGGCCGTACAGTAGCTGGCATTGTGGTGAATCAGTTCTCCCCACTGTGCCTACCCAGAATGCCTCTGAAAGGACTGAGGTATCTAGCTGAGAGGATCTCTCTGAAGCTCAGCAGCCCCTCTTGCTCAGGCAGCCAATAACATGTATCTGCAAAGCTCCGGCATTGCAATTAAGAACTAGGCCATAGAAAATACATAATTCATACGTGGGGTCCCATCGTATAGCAAAACATTTGCAATGCTGTTTAAATCCAAGCCAAATTTTGTTGATTGACTGGATGTGTCTGTTATCGGTGATGCGGACTCTGTAGGTGTGTGTGTGAGGGGGTACATGTCTGTGCAAGTGGTGTCTGTGTGTGTGTGTGTGTCTGGGTGTGTGCCAGCACGCACGTGTGTGTGTGCTTGCGTACGTGCGTACATGCATGCGTGTGTGTCTTCTGGCCAATTAGGCCTCACTCTGTTGTGTGAATGCTGTTGCAGTCTCTCGGGGTGCCCCATCGCTGCTGCAGAGAAGATGGTTAAAGTCCAGGAGAAGCACATCCCATGTGACGGGGGCCCCAAGTCCAACCAGGCTTCAGACCGTGTGCTGAGGTACTCACTCACACCCTCATCACATGACCACCACTCCCCCAGCCTCCCCGCTCATCCCAGTGCATTCCTTGTAGCCGTGAACGTAACCTCTGACCTGCATCAATCTCTCATACCTCATATAGACGTAGAAAGAAAGAACATATGGTAACATCATGTACATTCTACATACAATAGACAGGACATAGCCTACCGTATTAGCTCTCATGATTTTGCTCTTACAAATGAAGTCCCCCTAGTGGTTCAGTGAGGACTTACACCATCCAGTCAGTCAGACCGCTCTCACCGCGTGTACACAAACACGGCCCCCCTGTCCATGGTTATCTTCCAGGCCAATGTGCTTTGTGAAACAGCTGGAGATCCCACAGTACGGTTACAAAAATAACGTCTCCACCAGCACGCCGCGCTCCAACCTGGCCAAGGAGCTGGAGAAGTACTCCAAGACCAGCTTTGACTACGGCCAAGGCTACGACAGCCAGCACCACGTCTACGGTGGGGGGAAGAGAGGCCTGGCCCCCAAGCCCCAAGGACGGGACTCCTCGCCTAAGGGATATGATGGTAGGGAATGACTTCCTGTGTCTCACACACAAACACACACACACACACACACACAGACGCAGGCAGGAACACAAACATTATTCCCAGATTCTAGATCACTGCTAAGACAATGAGGTAAATGTGTTGAATAACTCTATGCAACACATATACAATGCAAAGAAACTATTGAAATGTGTATTCCCAAAACCAATTTTTGAGGCTATATTTAATTTCCATAAATGTGATACTGCATGGCATAGTTCATATTAGATGGAACAACCCCAATCCGGATTGGAGATAAATATAGAACACAGCCCATTTACTTGGCCCTGATGCATTTTTGAGCTGCTGGTTGGAAGGTTTTCTCTTATGCTTTTTGCCTCAGCTTCCTGTAGCGTGGAGAGATGCTTTTAGGGCAGGTTTCTGTATTCCCCGCTCACTCACACACTCTGCTGCCTGCAAACCCTTACTGTGAAGCCCATATTTACTGTCACACCGCTCCCATCCCTCTTGCTCGCACTCTCTCTCCCTCTAGCACACTCCTCGCGCTCTCCATCCCTGTCTCCCGCACCTCTTTCTCCACTCTATCTATTTATCTATCTATCTATCTATCTATCTATCTATCTATCTATCTATCTATCTATCTATCTATCTATCTATCTATCTATCTATCTATCTATCTATCTATCTATCTATCTATCTATCTATCTATCTATCTATCTATCTATCTATCTATCTATCTATCTATCTATCTATCTATCTATCTATCTATCTATCATCTATCTATATCTATATATACAGTATGTATCCTTTAGATTTTTCTAAATTTCATCTTTCTATACAGCTCTATTTCAATTCTTTTATATTTCAGATATTTTTTGGCGGGGCCAAAATCTGGCCTTCGGCATCGTTGTGTGTGACTTTATCTATGTACTGTATGTGTGTGTGTGGGTATGTGTGTGGGTGTGTGTGTGTGTGCATGGATGATGTCTGCACTCTATGTGTATACTGTATGTGTGTCTGTATGTCTGTGTATGATCTCTATGCTGTGCTCCCTCCCTGCAGCCAAGCGCTACTGTAAGAGCCCAGCCAGCAGCACGACGAGCAGCTACGCTCCCAGCAGCAGCAGTCTGAGCTGCGGAGGGGGAGGGGGCGGCAGCAGCGCCAGCAGCACCTGCAGCAAAAGCAGCTTTGACTACACACACGACATGGAGGCTGCCCACATGGCCGCCACAGCCATCCTCAACCTGTCCACACGCTGCAGGGAGATGCCCCACGGCCTGGGAAGCAAGCCCCAGGACCTCCTCTCCCAGGTAGGGAGGGCTACGGCCCAGACTCATGCTCACACTCACCCAGCAGGCTCCAGCTCCGCCTCTGGGGCGTTGCGTAGCTCTCTCTCTCTCTCTCTCTCTCTCTCTCTCTCTCTCTCTCCTGTCTCTGTCTCTGTCTCTGTCTCTGTCTCTCTCTCTCTCTCTCTCTCTCTCTCTCTCTCTCTCTCTCTCTCTCTCTCTCTCTCTCTCTCTCTCACATTCTCACTCTCTCACATTCTCACTCTCTGTCCGACATCTCTCTCTCTCTCTCTCTCTCTCTCTCTCTCTCTCTCTCTCTCTCTCTCTCTCTCTCACATTCTCACATTCTCACTCTCTGTCCGACATCTCTAATCTCTCTCTCTCTATCTCTCTCTCTCTTTCTCTCTGCGCCTCCTTTTCTGTCCCTCTGTCTCCCACTCTCTGCTCTCTCTCTCTTTTTCCACCCCTATCTTTCTCCCTTTGTCTATTTATTTCCCCTATCTTTCCTGTTTCTTTATTGCTCTTTCAATCTATCAGACTACATTTGCATTATATCTCTGATAAAATATGGATATTATCTCTTCCTTACTGCCACCCTGAGTCAGTTCTAGTGAAAAGTGGGCCCTTGTCTGATACAGGCAACAATGAGTCAGAGGCCTCCTCCACAGGGTTAGGTGTCAGATGCTTTTCTATTCCATATTATTTTGGCTTTGCTTATTACAGAATAATGCAGTCTGGCCTGGCATCCTGTGACTCTGTATGTGGCACATTCACTACATTGTGGGGTGTAGCTTGCTCTAAAGTGCGTCCAATTTCACAAAATATTTTGCTGTTCGACCTGGAGTTTTAACTTGGGATCACCCTACGAAAACAAAAATCCTAAATATATATATACAGTATATATATACATAAAATAAGTTGTTGTAATGATAAGGCTTCGCTGTACCATTTTTTCCCGAGCACAGATTTGTTAGCGACATGCTTGCACCATTAATACAGCGAAAACTGCTTGTTTCTAACCCAACAAGTTCAAAAGATCTGACCCACATTACCAACGCAACGTTTTTTATTTCCTGTCACGGCTTGGGGGGGGGGGGGGGGGCATTTTACATTCACAAACCATGTCGTGGGCCATTCTAAAACTACTCGCGGGCCACATTTGTTTTACACCTTGTTCAGTCATGTTTGTTACCTCATTAGCTAGCTAGCTAATAACCTGGTAACTATCAGTATATCCAAACATTTGGGGGCACAGAAAGAAAGGAAACAGGATAGCTTCTTCAGGAGATCAATGATCATAGAAATAAATGAATGACAAATATCTTGCATGTCATCATCATAAACTTTACATTCTTAAAGAGACAGTGCACAATTTTCAATGCAATGCATCTCAATAGGAAAATTGTGCTTTTACATAATGTAGAAACCTAATAGTCCACAAATGACTTTTTAATTTCAATAACAGGTATTTGTATCAACATTTTAGCTTTCTATATATAAACAAATGTATTTACATGGTTACATTTTAGTTTCTAGGGCACAACATGGGCAACAAGGGCGGCAGATAGCTTAGTGGTTAAGAGCGTTGTGCCAGTAACCGAAAGGTCGCTGGTTCTAATCCCTGAACCGACTAGGTAAAAAATCTGTCGATGTGCCCTTGAGCAAGGCACAACCCAAATTGCTCCTGTATGTCGCTCTGGATAAGAGCGTTTGCTAAATAAATAAATTACAAAATTAAAAAAAAAAAAAACATGTGCTTCAGAAGTAGCTAGAATTCATATAGGCTATATCTCTGTAGATTAAAAAAAAAGTTTTTCTACCAATGGTGCACCGGTGCTACCAATAAAAAATGTTAATTTAGAGCCCTGGTGCAGGGCAAGCATAGCCATGAGAGCAGTATATAATCTAACGCTGTGAGACAAAGAGATACATTGGGCGCGGTGGACTAGAGCCCTTGGCTTTTTAAGACAACCTGGAATGGATCGATGAGCATTTTCAGTGTGCCTCTTCTGCATCTATCTAGCTATCTCCTCTCTCTCTCTCTCTCTATCTCTCTCGCTCTCTCTCTCTCTCTCTCTCTCTCTCTCTCCTCTCTCTTCTCTCTCTCTCTCTCTCTCTCTCTCTCTCTCTCTTCTCTTCTCTCTCTCTTCTCTCTCTCTCTCTCTCTCTCTCTCTCTCTAGTAATCATGCCCCTGTGCAGAGGCGAGAGAGAGTGACCTCTCTGTGAGGACATGGTCTTGCTCTGGCGCAGTCTGTCTCTGTGTACACCATCACCATCGTCATCATCATCATCAGAGCGCCGCGGGGATATTCCCTGTGTTGTACATTAATCTCCTCTCCGCCACAGTATGGGCGGCAGAGTTGGCCAAGGGGGAGGAGTAATTAGTCTCTCCCTCGCTTTCTCTCCCTCTATCAACCCTCTCCTCTCCATTCACTCTCTCCTCTTTACCTCCTGCAATCTATTTATCGTGCTCCCTTGCTCTCTTCTCCTTCCCATCTTTCTTTTATCCTATTTACCTCCCTTTCCCCCTTCTCTCTTCCTCCCTCCCTCCCTCCCTCCCTCCATCTCTCTCTGACAGAGTCCTGATGGGGACGTGGATGACAACAGTACCCTGGACCTGAGTGTGAGCCGGGGGCAGCCGGGGGGTCCGGAGGGGAGTGGCACGGTGCTGACGCCCCTGCAGCCCATGTCCCCCCAGCGGCAGGCCCTGCTCAACAGCAGCCGCTGCTACCAGATGAGCGAGGCCGACTGCTGGGACCTGCCCGTGGACTACACCAAGATCAAGCGCATCACCGACGACGATCACAAAGAGGTATGGGGAAGGACCGCAGCATTATGGGTAATGTAGTTATGGTGTAATGTGGGTTTTTTTGTGTTCAAAATTAAAATCTATTGAACAGAATAGTCCTCTATTTTATTCCAATGGTTCAAAGGTGGCTTATCCAGAACATATTTTACTCCCTGCGAGTGTTCAATATTCCTTAATGAGCCATATACCGGCAGCACACAGGTAATGATGATTTGATTGGGAGGGGGGTATCCTGTATACACTGATAGTCTTTCAGTGACATCTAGTGGATGCTACTGGTACTGCATTAACTCAATGTGAGAATCTCAATTTTCAATTGATACCTCACATCCTCCCTCATCATCTCCTTCTCAAAGCACATTGGGGCAGAAGATCTGAGGTTCCTCCCCCCGAGAAAGAGAAATGGAAAGAGGAGACGAGGAATCAAGGAAATATAATTGAGATTCACCCAATGACTCAGTGACGCACACTACTGTGGATTCATTGTCCGTGAGATACATTAAGGCTCAGCAGCATTATATTATTAGTGTCTGATAGATCATCTTTACAAGTTGTACTTTGAATCGCTGATATTACACAAAGAAACCCATGCAATAAATTGATACATTTGCAGTATCAAATGAAAAAGCTTGAAGTTGAGGGGGTGTAGACATAAGAGTAATTGGGCTTGCTAATCAAGCATGGATGAAACATTTTCAGTGGGGCGTAAGCATTGAGATCGAAGGGAGAGGGTTTATTTGGGAGAATTGTTTCATACCAAGATATAGGATCTGCTGAGTAATAGAAAAAAATTGGGATGTGTGGGATGTGAATATGAGTATGAATTGTAATCATGTACTAATTGAAAAATGTAGGATGTGTGAATATGAATCTATGCTATGGTCACAGGCTACATGATAACATGATGTAGTCTTCCTTTCTGTCATCCCTCCACCAGGTCGATGACCTGGACCCATTCCAGGACCTTCTGGATGAGCAGCACTATGGAGGGGATGTGACCATGCCCAGCCCCAAACAGAAGTACTCTCCCTGCAAGGAGGGCAAGAAGGAACTCATCACGTAAGACCAAAACAAGCTTATCACCTTTTTACTACTTGACAGTCATTATACTCTCTTTACCTATTGACCATTTTCCACATCTGATGTTATCATTGTATGTCTGTGTATTCTCTAGTCTCTCAAGCTGCCAGTTAGCTGACAAAAGCATCCGCAGTATGATGACGACCAATGCGCAAGACCTCAAGTAAGCATAACCGCATTTCTCCAATGTCTCTGATAGAGACGATTGTGATTTCAATATTTTAGTCTTTACGTTTCCTAGCAGACCAATAGCCGGATAAGTGTTGATGCTGTCAGCTTTGGTATTACCCTGTCCCCTGTAGACACTCTCCTTGTCCCTATGTCCCAGGTGTCCCACTACGGGATGTGACGGGTCTGGACACATCACTGGGAACTACGCCTCGCACAGGAGGTAGCTTGCACCCCATCATAAAGACAAAAGCCATACAGTATATTGAGCAGCCCCTAAAATGTCAGATTGTAGAAGACGGTGATGCATAGATACATACAGTGCCTTCGGAAAGTATTCAGACCTGTTGACTTTTTCCACATTTTGTTACATTACAGCTTTATTCTAAAATTGATTTTTTTTTTTATCCTCAGCAATCTCTACACAATACCCCATCATGAAAAAGCAAAAACAGGTTTTTATAAATTTGTGCAAATAAAAAAATTAAAAAAATACCTTATAAGTATTCAGAACCTTTGCTATGAGACACGAAATTGAGGTCAGGTGCATCCTGTTTCCATTGATCATCCTTGAGATGTTTCTACAACTTGATTGGAGTCCACCTGTCGTAAATTCAATTAATTGGACATGATTTGGAAAGGCACACACCCGTCTCTATAATGTCCCACAGTTGACAGTGCAAGTCAGAGCAAAAACCAAGCCATGAGGTCGAAGGAATTGTCCGTAGAGCTCCGAGACAAGATTGGCACAGATCTGGGGAAAGGTACCAAAAAATGTCTGCAGCAATGAAGGTCCCCAAGAACACAGTGGCCTCCATCATTCTTAAATGGAAGAAGTTTGGAACCACCAAGACTCTTACTAGAGCTGGCTGCCCGGCCAAACTGAGCAATCGGGGGAGAAGGGCCTTGGTCAGGGAGGTGACCAAGAACCCAATGGTCACTCTGACAGAGCTCTAGAGTTCCTCTGTGGAGATGGGAGAACCTTCCAGAAGGACAACCATCTCTGCAGCACTCCATCAATCAGGCCTTTAAGGTAGAGTGGCCAGACGGAAGCCACTCCTCAGTAAAAGGCACATGACATTCCGCTTGGAGTTTGCCAAAAGGCACCAAAAGACTCTCAGACCATGAGAAACAAGATTCTCTGGTCTGATGAAACCAAGATTGAACTTTTTGGCCTGAATGCCAAGCGTCACGTCTGGAGGAAACCTGGCACCATCCCTACGGTGAAGCATGGTGGTGGCAGCATCATGCTGTGGACTGGGAGACTAGTCAGGATCGAGGCAAAGATGAATGGCGCAAAGTACAGAGAGATCCTTGATGAAAACCTGCTCCAAAGCAATCAGGACCTCAGACTGGAGCAAAGGTTCCCCTTCCAACAGGACAACGACCCTAAGCACAGCCAAGACAACGCAGGAGTGGCTTCGGGACAAGTCTCTGAATGTCCTTGAGTGGCCCAGCCAGAGCCCGGACTTGAACTCGATCGAACATCTCTGGAGAGACCTGAAAATAGCTGTGCAGCAACGCTCCCCATCCAACCTAACAGAGCTTGAGAGGATCAGCAGAGAAGAATGGGAGAAACTCCCCAAATACAGGTGTGCCAAGCTTGTAGCCTCATACCCAAGAAGACTCGAGGCTGTAATCGCTGCCAAAGGTACTTCAACAAAGTACTGAGTCAAGGGTCTGAATACTTATGTAAATATGATATTTCCGTTTTTTATTTTTAAACCTGTTTTTGCTTTGTCATTATGGGGTATTGTGTGTAGATTGATGAGCGGAAAAAAAACAATTTAATCAATTTTAGAATAAGGCTTTAACCTAACAAAATTTGAAAAATGGATACTTTTCCGAAGGCACTGTATACAGTTTATTACATATTTTGTAGTGTATACCTTCTCTGTTTTCAGTCCACTGAGCTCTGATGAAGTAATTTGTTACCGTATATACATGTATTTGAATAGGCTATTAGGTTTGTCTTGAAACCATCTGATACTAACTTTACAGAGCTATCATTCTGAGAAGTGATTTGTCTTTTGATGAACTGCAAATGCACTGATGTTGTACTCATACTCTTAAGATGGTAGTGAACTGCACAAGACCTTTCCCCTCTAGTCTGTCAGGCTGTCCACGGGCGAAGAAGAGCGGGATCAAGATACTGCACAGCAAGGAGGACAAGGACGACCAGGAGCCAATTAGGTGAGGGTTGGAACGGATAGTAGTATATTATCTTGGTAAATTTGTCAACATACAGATGTAGGATCTTAATTGGAGCCAGTTTGCTACAGCAGGAAAATAATCCTGCAGCAATAGGAAATGTGAATTATTATGTAGATTATAATTAATGGAATTTCTTTGTGGGGGTAAATACATTTTTCACAAGGGCAAATCAAGTCTGACATTTCAAAGTGAAAAGTACAAACTTTATAAGCCTTTTTAAACGTTGAATACACTACAAGTTTGCCTTTCCTGCTGTGCAGGAAGATTCTCAGCAACAAAAGAGTTATCAAATTAAGATCCTACATCTGTATTCTCTTGAAGTCAGTCATGCATTTCACCTCATATTCTCTACAGCCAGTGTAGTACACCTAGTGGGTACACTACAGTAAAGGTTACCTTTCCACCACTTAAGTAATGCCATAATGTTAAGCACATATGACCTTGCCGTGAATCATCTAAAGTTCACTGTGTGTCCTTTCACCAATCACCTCCCAATCGCTGCACAGCTGTTGCTGCCACCTCTATCCCTGCGAGGTTCACTGGATCTACCATCATCATTAACATTGTAATCATAATTAACACTGACCTCCCCACTCCCGGGGTGGAGCAGCCCGCAGACACGCTGTGCTAATTCTAATCAGCCCAAATGTCACTCTGAAGGACAATGTAGAACCATGGGTAAATGTCTATAAACCGGAGATGGTTTTCATTACAGTAGCTAATCTTTTTCTAGTAGTCTTTTTAGTGTGTGGATGACATTTACCAGGGACAGCTGTGCTGCAGGTGAGGAGAGCGATGTCGTGACCTGACTGACCTTTGTGACCCCTTCTCTCCTCAGGTGTCCAGTCCCAGGCTGTGATGGACAGGGTCACGTGACGGGGAAGTACGCATCTCACCGCAGCGCGTCGGGCTGCCCCCTGGCGGCCAAGCGGCAGAAGGATGGCTACGTCAACGGCTCCCAGTTTGCATGGAAGTCCGGGAAGACAGACGGCATGTCGTGCCCGACCCCGGGTTGTGATGGATCAGGACATGTCAGCGGGAGCTTCCTGACCCATCGGAGGTGGGTGGGGCTCTGCACGGTTCTGGTGTAAACGAGCAACTGTGTACAAATGTAACTAAGTACCAGATCAAGAATGTAAATTATGCAGCAGGGTTGGAGTCATATGATTTTATTCACCAGAGCCTTTCTTCCTCAGTCTCTCCGGTTGCCCCCGTGCCACCTCAGCCATGAAGAAAGCCAGAATGACTGGGGTAGAAATGTTGACAATCAAGCAACGGGCAAGCAAAGGTAATTGCCAGGCACAAATACCAGTCAGAATGCCCCTTGACTAACCACTTGCTGGTTTTATCAAAACATATTCAAGCTGAATCAAAAGTGCATTTTATTGTTTCCCCTTCTCTAGGAATAGAAAATGATGAGGACATCAAACAGCTGGATACAGAAATCAAAGATCTAAACGAATCGAACAATCAAGTGGAATCAGACATGATTAAACTTAGGACACAAGTAAGATTCATTCATTACTTATTCAAGATTAATTAATTAATTATTATAGGGCAGTTAGTCTTGCTGAGTTTGGGCAAATATTGAAACAGGTTGCTGGATTAAAGCTTACATCAAATGCATATAACTTGATTTTGATGTTTCATTCCCCAAGAAACTGTGATATGACTAGCGCAGTACATTTTTCAGTCACTCTGGTTCATCAACTTCAATGCACGTCTTTCTCTCCTTTCCCAGATCACCACTATGGAGACTAACCTGAAGTCCATAGAGGAGGAGAACAAAGTGATTGAGCAGCAGAATGACTCGCTACTGCACGAGCTAGCCAACCTCAGCCACTCTCTCATCAACAGTTTAGCTAATATCCAGCTCCCACATATGGTAAGTACCATCACAACTTAGCCTCCAACAGTTACTGTCGGACAAGCACTGTATCAAGTCGAACGAAGATGCCATAGGAATCAAGAACGGTTTATGGGGAAATAGGACGTGGGGTTAGGTAATAAGGCTATGTTGTCGAAGATACTAGATGGCACACTTGAAAGCATGCCACTTTGATGTTCCATGATTGCAAGTGTTGAAACCCAGGGCCATTTGAAGTATATGAGTCAATGTAACATGAGTGAAAACAAAACGTGGTCATATCATGGTAGTGGCTTATTCCACTGTATTCTGCCAAATTGGATATGTTTATTTCCATAGTGATTGTTTGTTGATGCCATTTAAACAGAACACGTAAAAAAGTATTATAAAATACATCTCTTACCCTGTTATGTGCTTGAAAAATCATTGCAACATAAGGTCTAACTGCAATAACATAATTGGGTTTTTTCATCTGCTGCTTTCTGTTTGTCCCTTGTTTTCTCAGCTGTTCATATGCTTCTGTGCTACAACACTTCCCTTACAGACTAATAATCTAATCTAACCCCCCCCCCCCCCCACACACACACACACACACACACACACACACACACACTCCCCACTGCTTGGTTTCAGTTGAGAAATAAACAGGGCTGATAGGATATTGCTTGATCTAAAAGGCACCAACGTTTCTTAGTCATAAATGAAATCTGAATCTGGCTCCCTGTTCTCCACCCATTAATGTGAGGGGATCACATTTTAGGAGGGTTATAAAGCATTTTTCTAGCCTGGAACCATATCTGTTTGTGCTATACCCAACTGCTATACAGCGGCTTGCGAAAGTATTCACCCCCCTTGGCATTTTTCCTATTTTGTTGCCTTACAACCTGGAATTAAATTTGATTTTGGGGGGGATTTGTATCATTTGATGCCTACCACACACATCACAAAATGCCTACCACTTTGAAGATGCAAAATATATTTTATTGTGAAACAAACAAGAAATAAGAAAACTTGAGCGTGCATAACTATTCACCCCCCGAAAGTCAATACTTTGTAGAGTCACCTTTTGCAGCAATTACAGCTGCAAGTCTCTTGGGGTATGTCTCTATAAGCTTGGCACATCTGGCCACTGGGATTTTTGCCAATTCTTCAAGGCAAAACTGCCCCAGCTCCTTCAAGTTGGATGGGTTCCGCTGGTGTACAGCAATCTTGAAGTCATACCACAGATTCTCAATTGGATTGAGGTCTGGGCTTTGACTAGGCCATTCCAAGACATTTAAATGTTTCCCCTTAAACCACTCGAGTGTTGCTTTAGCAGTATGCTTAGGGTCATTGTCCTGCTGGAAGGGGAACTTCCATCCCGGTCTCAAATCTCTGGAAGACTGAAACAGGTTTCCCTCAATAATGTCCCTGTATTTAGCGCCATCCATCATTCCTTCAATTCTGACCAGTTTCCCAGTCCCTGCCAATGGCTTTTATCTGGCCACTCTTCCGTAAAGCCCAGCTCTGTGGAGTGTACGGCTTAAAGTGGTCCTATGGACAGATATTCCAATCTCCGCTGTGGAGCTTTGCAGCTCCTTCAGGGTTATCTTTGGTCTCTTTGTTGCCTCTTTGATTAATGCCCTCCTTGTCTGGTCCATGAGTTTTAGTGGGCAGCCCTCTCTTGGCAGGTTTGTTGTGGTGCCATATTCTTTCCATTTTTAAATAATGGATTTAATGGTGCTCTGTGGGATGTTCAAAGTTTCTGATATTTTTTTAGAACCCAACCCTGATCTGTACTTCTCCACAACTTTGTCCCTGACCTGTTTGGAGAGCTCCTTGGTCTTCATGGTGCCGCTTGCTTGGTGGTGCCCCTTGTTTAGTGGTGTTGCAGATTCTGGGGCCTTTCAGAACAGGTGTATATATACTGAGATCATGTGACAGATCATGTGACACTTAGATTGCACACAGGTGGACTTTATTTAACTAATTTTGTGACTTCTGAAGGTAATTGGTTGCACCAGATCTTATTTAGGTGCTTCATAGCAAAGTGGTTGAATACATATGCACCACTTTTCCATATGCACCACTTTTCCGTTATTATTTTTGTAGAATATTTTTTAACAAGTTATTTTTTTCATTTCACTTCACCAATTTGGACTATTTTGTGTATGTCCATTACATGAAATCGAAATGAAAATCCATTTAAATTACAGGTTGTAATGCAACAAAATAGGAAAAACGCCAAGGGGGATGTTATGCCAAACGTCATGACAATAACTATTAGCAAGACAGCACAAAAATATCTGCGACCAGGCTAGAATTTTGCTCCCTTTTGTACAGCAGGCTAATAGAATTCTATCTATCTCTATTCTCTTTACACCTCTTCCTGTAGAAACCGATGCCACAGAAAGAGGCCCCAGTTAAACATAGCTGCTGTTTACAGATGCCCCACAGAGTAAGATATTCCTTTTCATAGTCTAATTATTATCCTTTTCTTCTGCACTATCATCTCCTCCCTTAAGTCTTCCTCCTATACTGGTGAACACTCTCTGTGGTGTTTATGCATCACAATTGTCCATAAATGTTGCTGCGTTATACTACGATTCAATGGTTTGGTCATATTTAGAGACGTTTTGTGGCTTCTTAGAAGAATTTCAAAGAGCCCCATGATATATTGCTGACAAGGAAGTGGTTATGATGGAGTAACACTACGAGCCATTTTTACACAGTTATATCACAATTACAGTCAATGAAGCAAGTATGTTCAGTCTGCTATTGCATATTCAGTGTCTCTCTGTTTGTCTGTCTGTTCATGCTACTGTTACAGTGTGTGTACCTGTCTGAGAAATGGCTCCCACAACTCCCACATCTCACTAGCTGCACACATTACATTAGTTTATTTATGTGATGTCAGTCATCGTTTTGTCTCCATAAGATAAGCATCAACAATCATGCCTGCTATGAGTTGCTAAAATCAATCTACACTGACTTTGCATGGTTTGGAGTTGCAGTAGATCAACTGTACTATACATAGGACTATGTAAATGGTTACATTTTATGAAATCGATGAAGTATTGTAAATACACACTTAGTACAGCCCCAGTGACCATACTGTCCTTACAATGTTTGCAGCTGTCAGTGTCCTTCCCTGAACAATTTGTATTTCCCTCCTTTCCCTTGTCTTTGAAAGAAACTGAATTGATCATCAATATGAAATCATACTGAATCTGATTGCATCTGTACCATTGTCCTTATTGGTGTCTTTTTCCCTCACAGGAGCCAATGAATGAACAAAACTTTGATAGTTATGTGAATACTTTGACAGACATGTACACCCATCAGGACCAATACCAGAGTCCAGAGAACAAGGCCCTATTGGAGAACATCAAACAAGCGGTGCAAGGCATCCAAGTGTAATAGCCTATCTACCTGCAAAAAGGCACTGTCTGAGGCTAAATCAAATGATGTTAAAGCGACAACAAAAAAGTCAAAAGAGAGAATGGATCAGGATTTTTTGCTGCTGTAAATTACCATAATGATTCTTTTATTACACTGTTATGCTCTGAGCTCCATGGTTATGATTTTTTTGCCTTGCTTTAAAAATAGTTCCCAATGGCAAAAGTTTAAAAGAACATACACGTTTTGTACATTTTCATATTACCTAATATAAAGTGATGTACTGTTTATAGCTGCTAATGTATGCACATTTTTGTGTATATGTATTTATTAATTGTAAGCTTGTTTCATTCATTATTTTAACGCTTATTGATAAAAAGGACTATACTGAGTCCCATGGGTGGGGAGCCAGATGAGGGCAATGTGAGGAGCAATCATTTTTAGATAAGCGCTTCTTTTTTTGGATGTAATAGAATACAAAAAAAGACCTTTGGTGTGAAGATTGTTAACTGGATGTAAATGTATCAATTTTTGTAACAATGTTTGAAAAACTCTTTGTCTTCAGTGGTCTGTGTGGAGACTAATAATAATGTCTATGTTTAAATAAAATATGAGAAGAAACTATGTATAAATATGACAAATTTCAAACATCATGAGACGGAAACTAAGAGGTGCAACTCCCATCATCTAGAATGGACTGTACTTCATTAGGTTAGAAATAAAAAAAGTATTATTAATCTGTGCTGTTAAAAACTATTTCCATTTCAAACACAGAGCGGGATGACCAATGGCTATGGGAAATGTAGGAGACAATCTAGCGTTACTAATTTATTTAAATCGTAAATCTTATTGAATAGCTAGTAGGACAACTTATCAGCAATATTGGTATAGCAATGATTAAATCACTTGTTTAGATATTGGATGCAATCTATATAGAAAAAAATGTTTGGGTATATGCAATTTCTTATAAATAAAATTAGCAGAGCTGATAAATCTTTTTACTAAATGTAAATGTATTAAGTTTTGTATAAATCTTTTAATACAATCATGTTTTAGGGATTCATCATGGGGCGATCAGTTCCAAAATGAAAGATGGATGAGTTTATGAGTTTCGTTCTCTCATGTTCGATTTTGCACAGGAACACCTTTGTTTTGATGTTTTGATGTTTTTATTGAAACTTAAAGAGGTACTTGAAAGGTCAAATTAATGGTCAGAAGTTTTGTAGAAAAGTTATCTTTATAAAGGCTGATTGATGTGCTGGACTTACAGGGTCAATGTCCCCCATTTATCATAGTATATTATTGCACTTGTTCAGTAGAAATGTCTTTGCGATCATGCATAGTATGTGTCTGAGCCACACCACATGATATGAGCTAAAGATTGCTTTTTGATTCTGTCCTAAAAATGGATCTATTGGTAAAAAACTTTATTGATATCTATTATAACAACAAATAATGCTAACTAACGAAAATGATATTGGAAATAGTGGTCCATGATTAACTAGCGTTTCTATGATTGATGACAATTCCATGAGTAAATTGCTATCACTTTCTATGAGACACCCTCAATAAATGTTTTCATAGTACTTAAAAACACCATTATAATGCAATTTGAGTGTCAATGTCAGCCCCCTATAATGCCATAACCTTTTAAACATCAGTCAACTGCAACAAATCTACCCTAACATAGTATTTACTTATTAATAATTCAATTTCCTATACAAATTGGCATAACCATGTGACATACACTTGCTGAAGACGACTCTAATAATGGATTATGTGTGTTCTTAATACAGTTTATCATGCATGCACATCATGGGAGTATTTCACAATTATATCAATAAATAGAGATAATTATTTGCATTTAAACGACTGTATATGGCAACAGTATCATCTAAGACATATTGTATGTGGAAGTAGCCTAGAGTGTGGAGTCTAGGACTGCGTTTAGACAGGCAGTCCAATTCTGATCTTTTTTCAAGTAATTGGTCTTTTGACATTTGACATTTACATTTTAGTCATTTAGCAGATGCCCTTATCCAGAGCGACTTACAGTTTTTAGTGAGTACATACATTTTTCATACTGGCCCCCCGTGGGAATCGAACCCACAACCCTGGCGTTGCAAGCGCCATGCTCTATCAATTGAGCTACAGGAGGCCTATCACATAGATATTTTCACGTCAGATCTTTTCAGAGCTGATCTGATTGGTCAAACGACCAATTAGTGAAAAAAATACCAGAATTGGGCTGCCTGTCTAAATGCAGCCGCGAGACTTAGACCTGAATGAGACAAGTTCACTTCAGACATCCCTTCTTGATAGTCAATATGAGGGTGCTATAGGTTTAGCTAGTCATTGACCTGATCTCACACTTCAAAGCATCTCTTTGGACCTCCTACTAGACTTGAGGTCCACATTCCATATGACTCCCTATGCCTGTGTCTAAAGCTTTGTGTCTGCAGCTTTTTGCCAATAAAGTAACGCTATAGATAGATCAACAGCTTGTACTATTTTCTTTAGTCAATTATTCTTACTGATACAAAGGAAATGGGAATTTTAAGCACAAATCTGCTGCTCACCAACAGTCAGTACATATTATAATAACAAATGTAAAAGGTTATCTGTGATTATTTACATAGAGAACACTAACATGTCACATGCTAGAGTGCAGAAGAATTTTCATATAAATATTTGTGAATTCATCAATTTATTAAACTGCTACAATTACGATTTATTTCGAGTAATGCTTTGATGAAAGGATTTTATACAACATTGATTTCCTTCTCTCCTTTCCCCTGTCCCCTCTCTCGCTCCTGCAAACTTTCCAACTTAATTTTGGTACCACATGGCATGATTTTTGTTGATCTATAATTTTGTATGTTTAAGATCACAAGTTGCTGTGATATTTCATTTGAAATTGTGAAGTTTGTACGATTTTTATCACACTGGTGTTGACATCTCTTACTCTGAATAAAACTTGTGTTGCAACACTAACTTGTATTGTTTCCTCAAATGATCGCCTCAAATATGAATGAAAACATATGAGAAGATAAATAGTCCAAGAACATAGGTGCATAGTCACTGACCTGACTTCATCAGAGCCAGCAAGCAGCTGTAGCCTAGCCAGAAGAGGAACTACGTTATTGTAAGGTCCAACTACTGTGAGAGAAAAAAAACAATGGAACAAATGTCAGGGCCAACAAATCATAAACCACCCACGAAAAAGCAAGGGATTCACACAATTTACAAAATACAATATAATACAAATATACAAAATCACAAACGACAAGAGACATGAGTCAAAAATGGCTCATGACACATGAGACAGGCCAGCAAATTAAAAGTGACTTTGATCAAAATATCTGATATGTCTAAAATGTCTGATATCTCTCTATATATTACTCAGATTTTGATCCAGAACCTGCATTATTTGATCCTAATCCACAAATTGATACAGCACCAACCTATTTTGACATCACTCCCTCCTTGTGGAACTACAGAGGGGCAAGATTCCGTGTGCCACGCGCTGGCTTGCTGTTTAACTTTTTCCTGGAATCTGCGTTGGTGAATTAGCAAATAGCTAGCTGCCAGTGTTTGTTTTGGTTGTCTTGGTTGCCAATTAGCTAAAAGAAAGATGTCTGCCACGGATGACGATACTGAGTTGCGGGATCTTTTGATCCAAAACCTAGAAAACAGTGGGGTCTTGAACAAACTAAAGGCACGTAGCTACCAATATTGAAAAGTCGTATGTCGATGGACTCTTCAAAGACTGAGAATTTTGGTGTTGCAGCTTGTTATCGTTTCGAATAGCTAGCTAACGTTAGCTAGCTACTGTAACTAGCTGGCCCGCGGTAAAGTCACCGGCTGTCATCAAGAGATCTAGTGTCTTGAGATAGCTAGCTAGCTAAGTTAGCTAGCTAGCTACTGTACCTTCTAACATTGGATAACCAACAGCTAGCTAGATAGCTAACTATTTTACAATTAGTGCATATTTAGGTACTTAGCTAGTACTGTTACATAGCTAGCTAGGTAGTTCAGACCTGTTTGAGGCCCTCTTGCTTGGCCAACACCCTCTTTTGCTCTTATTGTCGTATTTTGTAGGCAGAAATGCGCGCTGCTGTCTTCCTGGCTATGGATGAACAGGATAAAGTGGAGGTAAGAAGATAGCTGACTTGTGTGCATTTTCAATTAACGTTAATCCTGATAGTGTAACGTTACTTTAGGCCCACTTATTGCTTCTCTTAGTAATTACTTTTCATTTTTTGGGATGTCAGTGTAGTGTATGATTTACATCTGCATAACCTCTGCTACCACTCATTATCGTTCCCACAGAATAAAACTCCACTTGTCAATGAAAACCTGAAGAAATGTCTTAATACAAAGGATGGTAAGGGTTATCCACCGTGATTGTCTGAACAATAGTTTGCTAATCGCATAATAATCAACATACATTACAACGGCTCATTCTTTCCATGATGAGGCTGATCATGTCTTTCCCTTTTTACAGGACGCCTGGTGGCCAGCCTCATCATAGACTTTCTGCAGGTCTTTCACCTGGACTTTACGCTTGCTGTCTTCCAGCCAGAGATAAACTCAGTGAGTGTTTTACTCCCAGTGGATGGGGCTGGCCTGGCATTTGGTCAAATCATTTGGAATTGTCAGTGCTACATTCACCATTATGGCATGCAATTTATTGCGCGTGTGTCCTATTCTCAGCTAAATGGCCTGGACAGCCGTGAGCAGGTCTCTTGTGAGCTGGGTATCACCGAGACTGATATGAACAGGAACACTCCTCTCCTGCTGGAGCTTGTCAAGAGGGGCAGACACAGGGAGAAGAACTCCATCTTCTCAGAGGTAAAGACAGACCACTGCACAGGGCGTGCCATTTTACATACATAGGTTTAGTCATTCACTACAGAGGGAAAGACACACCACTGCACAGGGCTTGCCATTTTGCATACAGGTTTAGTCATTCACTATATACAGTTGAAGTCAGAAGTGTACATACACCTTAGCCAAATACATTTAAACTCAGTTTTTCACAATTCCTGACATTTAATCCTAGTAGAAATTCCCTGTCTTAGGTCAGTTAGGATCACCACTTTATTTTAAGAATGTGGAATGTCAGAATAATAGTAGAGAATTATTTATTTCAGCTTTTATTTATTTCATCACATTCCCAGTGGGTCAGAAGTTTACATACACTCAATTTGTATTTGGTAGCATTGCCTTTAAATTGTTTAACTTGGGTCAAACGTTTCGGGTAGCCTTCCACAAGCTTCCCACAATAAGTTGGGTGAATTTTGGCCCATTCCTCCTGACAGAGCTGGTGTAACTGAGTCAGGTTTGTAGGCCTCCTTGCTTGCACACGCTTTTTCAGTTCTGCCCACAAATGTTCTATAGGATTGAGGTCAGGGCATTGTGATGGCCACTCCAATACCTTGACTTTGTTGTCCTTAAGCCATTTTGCCACAACTTTGGAAGAATGCTTGGGGTCATTTCCATTTGGAAGACCCATTTGCAACCAAGCTTTAACTTCCTGACTGATGTCTTGAGATGTTGCTTCAATATATCCACATAATGTTCCTTCCTCATGATGCCATCTATTTTGTGAAGTGCACCAGTCCCTCCTGCAGCAAAGCACCCCCACAGCATGATGCTGCCACCCCCGTGCTTCACGGTTGGGATGGTGTTCTTCGGCTTGCAAGCATTCCCCTTTTTCCTCCAAACATAACGATGGTCATTATGGCCAAACAGTTCTATTTTTGTTTCATCAGACCAGAGGACATTTCTCCAAACAGTACGATCTTTGTCCCCATGTGCAGTTGCAAACCGTAGTCTGGCTTTTTTATGGCGGTTTTGGACCAGTGGCTTCTTCCTTGCTGAGCGGCCTTTCAGGTTATGTCGATATAGGACTCGTTTTACTGTGGACATAGATACTTTTGTACCTGTTTCCTCCAGTATCTTCACAAGGTCCTTTGCTGTTGTTCTGGGATTGATTTGCACTTTTCGCACCAAAGTACGTTAATCTCTAGGAGACAGAACGCGTCTCCTTCCTGAGCGGTATGACAGCTGCGTGGTCCCATGGTGTTTATACTTGCGTACTATTGTTTGTACAGATGAACGTGGTACCTTCAGGCGTTTGGAAATTGCTCCCAAGGATGAACCAGACTTGTGGAGGTCTACAATTCTTTTTCTGAGGTCTTGGCTGATTTATTTAGATTTTCCCATGATGTCAAGCAAAGAGGCACTGAGTTTGAAGGAAGGCCTTGAAATACATCCACAGGAACACCTCCAATTGACACAAATTATGTCAATTAGCCTATCAGAAGCTTCTAAAGCCATGACATAATTTTCTGGAATTTTCCAAGCTTTTTAAAGGCACAGTCAACTTAGTGTATGTAAACTTCTGACCCACTGGAATTGTGATACAGTGAATTATAAGTGAAATAATCTCTCTGTAAACAATTGTTGGAAAAAGTGTTTGTGTCATGCACAAAGTAGATGTCCTAACCTACTTGCCAAAACTAGTGGTTGAAAAACGAGTTTTAATGACTCCAACCTAAGTGTATGTAAACTTCCGACTTCAACTGTGTATATATATAATAAATACAATTTTTTTATTTTACAATCCAAAACATACACATACAAATGACAACATACAAACATCCACAACATCACCCCTGCGCAGAAGCCTACCTGATTTGATTGTGCTCTTGAATGGCCTTCTGAATGGAGTGACCAACTTGTGATTATAATGGACTGCTTTCTTGCTCTACTGCTTTCCCTGCTCTGCTGCTTTCCCTGCTCTGGCCTGCTGTTTTCTGATGTAAGGGGCACAAAGCCACAAACATCCCCAAGGTAGTAATTCTCATGATCTTCATTCGCCTTCCTTCTCACTCACTAGGGTACATTTACATCTACATAGAATATTATGAATGACCACCCACTGTTTCAAAATCAGGTATTATACATAGCCTACAACATGACCACACTGAGATGTAATCCTTCATACAACAACATTTAAGTATTTTGTCAATGGACCAGAGCTGCCAGAAAATAAACTGTATTACTCATAGTTGTCATTTTGCCGTGACTACCAAATTCTAATATTATCTGGGTCAAAAGAAGGCACCGTGCCATTAGTGTAAATGTACCCAGACGATTGAGAGAGAAAATGGTTTTCCTGTTGATCAGCGCGACTCTGACATAACAAGTTTGTCCTACTTTCTTACAGTCATGTTTCATGCTCTGCTCAAATCAGCAGAATGAGCTCGCGTAGCTATCCTATTCACCCATTCATACTGATAACTGTAGGCCGCAAAGGTGCACATGAAGAACTAGCGTATAACAAAATATTTTGATTTGAATATCATCAAGCTTACAATTTCATGTTTGTTTTTATCGCGTGTATTGATCCCAAGAGGATGCGACTTCAAATGTAGAGAGATTGCTTGGTCTGATATCAATGTTCTTCCTTTTCTCTTTGTAGGAACTAACCCCCAGGCAAATAGCAGACGCCCGGAAGAAGTTTGACAGTTATGACAAGGTGATCATTTTAAGTACAAATATTTTGAAGCCATCTCTTAAAATGTAGATGTGCTCATTTTGGTCATCCTCATAAGTTCTCATTTACATTTAAGTCATTTAGCAGACGCTCTTATTCTCCATTGCTATTGATTGCCTTGTGGAGGTGTTTCAATGTCCAAGATTCTTCCAAGATCCTGCCTTTTACGGTGTTTCATTTTTCTGCTTCATAGGCCAGCACTGGTGGGATACGCAAAGAGGATTTGAAAGTTGTGTTTGGAGATGTTTTTCCCAACTTCAACAAGTATGTTTGGGCCATGTCATTCAAGCAAAATGACAAAACACTAAGGTCTGGTTCCCTGGACACCGGAAAGCCCACTCCTGAACTAAAAAGCATGAATTTCTATTGAAAGTGCTTTGTCATTCAGGAATAGACTTAATCTGTGTCTGGGAAACCTGTCCAGACTGCAAAGCTGATATGACAATGCTATTTGTGACGTGAATCAACAGCTCATCAAGTTTCCTTAACAAGTTGTTGTCTGTGTGTCCAATAACAGGAACATGCTGGAGAAGTTTGTCACTGATGAACATAGAGCTGGAGACAAAGCCTCCAGTAAATGTAAGTGTTCTGTAGACTGAAAGGAATTGACATTCTTCATTTTATTTTATTTAACCTTTATTTAACTAGGCAAGTCAGTTAATAACAAATTCTTATTTACAATGACGGCCTACCAAAAGGCAAAAGGCCTCCTGTGGGGACGGGGGCTTGGATTAAAAATATAGGACAAAACACACATCACGACAAGAGACACCACAACACTACATAAAGAGAGACCTAAGATAACAACATAGCATGGCAGCAACACATGACAACACAACATGGTAGCAACACAACATGGCAACAGCACAACATTGTGCAAACATTAATGGGCACAGACAACAGCACAAAGGCAAGAAGGTAGAGACAACAATACATCATGCGACGCAGCCACAACTGTCAGTAAGAGTGTCCATGATTGAGTCTTTGAATGAAGAGATGGAGATTTAAACTGTCCAGTTTGATTGTTTCTTGCAGCTCGTTCCACTCGCTAGCTGCAGCGAACTGAAAAGTGTGGTTGCTATAGTTACAAGCATGGCAACACAAATCTGAGGAAAATGTCGTCATCTGCTCTAATGCTTTGTCTCATATCTCTGTCTCTGTAGCTATAGACTTCCAGGAGTTTCTGGGCTTGTACAAGCGCTTCTTCAGTCAGTGTCGAAGTGTGGTAAGACACCTTTACTCTTTTGAAGTTCCTTTTTAGATTGAATCATAGATTTAACTTTGTATGAACTGTTTCTTTCTGTGAAACAACACAATGTCAAATGTGTCCTTCCCTTCCAGGTCACCCATGACACCAGTGATGTCATTTACAATCCCAGTCGATTTATTGAGGAGAAGATAAACATTTCACCGGCTAGTAAGGTACATTGGCTCTTCTCAAACTATGGTGCAGTGCATGTTTTAGTGCTCTATATAAAATGGCTGTTGTTTCTCATAGGATAACTATTTTCTTACTTTGTTCAAAGTTAATATTGCATTCCTTTAATGCCTGTTTGTGTGAACTGTTATGTCATAACAGCTTTCTTGTGAATCAATACATTTCTATGGAATTTGCCTTAAAATAACATAGCAAGAGATCTAGTTTTGTAATTGCAGGATGTGAGCATTGGGTATAAATTATGTGGATATTTGAGAGAATGTTGATTGTTAAAACAAAGCCTCTGTTTTTACGCTTTCTTTCGAAAGGATGAAGAGGTCAGTAGACTAAACTGTATTTGATTCTCCCTAAATGTAGCCTCCTTTAGGGCCTACCCAGTATCCATCATGTTAGTGAGGCAGTGAGTGTGTGAGGAGGCTGATAGCTGTGTTCTCATGCACAGATCCCCAGGTTTAAAGGACATAAACACAGTGCACAGGCGGAGAAGGCTAACGCCAAGGTAAACTGCAAGGCGGGAACAGGGTTGTGCTCATTAGGCACCAAACGGAAGAGAGTGTACTGAAACAGAGGGACTAGCTGGACTAATAAGGAACACTCATTTTCGTTGGGTTTGCTGTAATGAACACAACCCAGGTGTAGAGTACCCACTGGGCACACACTGGTTGAATAAACGTTGTTTCCACGTCATTTCAATTAAATGACGTTGAACCAACGTGGAATAGACTTTAATTTGACATCTGTGCCCAGTGGGTAGGCTCATACCAATTCATCCAGGGGAAGTTCTCATTTCAAAGGCATGTCCGTACCATTTACTAATTGCTCACTTCACTGTCTTAATGGTTCATAGAGTAGGTGCGACTAACGTAGCTAAGCCATTAGCAAGGGCAGACCTCTAAAATGGCCTTTACCTTTACTTGTGCCGGATAGTTCTCAAAATATCTTTCCTATAGCTAATATTTCAGTGCCACTACTAACTCTCCCTGTCGCTTTAATCGTCTAACCATTTGCAACTAAATGCTAGCTAACCCACTCAAATACACAGAAGCAGCTTTAAACATGTGTTTTTGTTATTTTTATTGTCTTGTTCCTATATGTGCCACACAGGGCGTGGAGGTCAGTCACAGCCACAGTGACACCAGCCTGCGCTTTGGCTCTCTTCAGGGCAAAGGGCAGGGTCACGTGACGTCGATGCACAGCGAGGCGTGCGGGGACAATGACAATGGCCCCACGGTGAGCCTGAAGAAGGGGCTGGACCTGGAGGTGGAGGAGGACGCAGACGAGGACGACTCGTTCTTTGATGACCCTCTGCCTAAACCACAGAAAATCTATGGCTGGTGAGGACAGGGGTTGATAAAAGAGTTGGAGAATGTATGTCATAGAGAGAGCCTATCTTTTAACTGTTGTTTGATCAATAGGACTGTAAAGTTCCCAAATGTAAGAGGACTCCCGTGGTGTTTACATATTTGCAGAAATCCATTCAGGTGTATTTTGTGGCTTTTGGCGATTGAGTTCTAATGATCTAAAGTCGCGCTGTTGCAACTGCCTGTAAACACACAGTCCAGTTCAAAGTGAATGACGGCAGGCCCGTGTGGCAAATGGCTTGTTTGTATAAAGGGATACTGTAGCTCTAATTGGCTATAGCCCACCGTTCTGTGTAGACTCCGGTCCTGGACAAGACAGATGTTTTTATTTGGTTTTATTTACTGCAGTGTCTATTAATTGCACAAACGCATTGCTGATTTCCCACTATATATTACTATAGAATTTTCACAAATGCCTTAGTATACACTACCGGTCAAAAGTTTTAGAACACCTACTCATTCAACAGATTTTCTTTATTTTTACTATTTTCTACATTGTAGAGTAATAGTGAAGACATCAAAACTATGAAATAACACATATGGAATCATGTAGTAACCAAAAAAGTGTTAAACAGATCAAAATATATTTGAGATTCTTCAAATAGCCTCCCTTTTCCTTGATGATTGATGATGGTTAAGTGTGCCTTAAATTCTAAGTAAATCACAGACAGTGTCACCAGTAAAGCACCTCCACACCATAACACCTCCTCCTCCATGCTTTACGGTGGGAAATACACATGCAGAGATCATCTGTTCACCCACACCGCGTCTCACAAAGACACGGCGGTTGGAACCAAAAACTCTCCAATTTGGACTCCAGACCAAAGGACACATTTCCACCAGTCTAATGTCCATTGCTCGTGTTTCTTGGCCCAAGCAAGTCTCTTCTTCTTATTGGTGTCCTTTAGTAGTGGTTTCTTTGCAGCAATTTGTCCATGAAGGCCTGATTCACACAGTCTCCTCTGAACAGTTGATGTTGAGATGTGTCTGTTACCTGAACTCTGTGAAGCATTTATTTGGGCTGCAATTTCTGAGGCTGGTAACTCTAATGAACTTATCCTCTGCAGCAGAAGTAACTCTGGATCTTCCATTCCTGTGGCGGTACTCATGAGAGCCAGTTTCATCATAGTGCTTGATGGTTTTTTGTGACTGCATCAAAGTTATTGAAATGTAGTACTGACCGTATTGAACACTGCTTACCTTGCCTATCTAATAAAGTAAGGCAAGGGACTGGTCGTCCGTTCATACTTTTTTATGTTATTATTTTTTATTATTATATATGAGTTTGTTTGTGTCTGGTGGCCATAAATATGGACCTTGAGTCTTATGATGTCTACAAATAGAGCTCTTTGTATACCCTCCCTACCTTGTCACAACACAACTGATTGGCTCAGATGCATTAAGAAAGAAAGAAATTCCACAGATTAACTTTAAGAAGGCAGGACCTGTTAATTGAAAGGTATTCCAGGTGCTACTCATGAAGATGGTTGAAGAATGCCCAAGAGTATGCAAAAGCATGTCATCAAGGCAAATGGTGGCTATTTGAACAATCTCAAATATAAAATATATTTTGATTTGTTTTAACACTTTTTTGGTTACTAAACTCAGCAAAAAAAGAAACGTCCCTTTTTCAGGACCCTGTCTTTCAAAGATAATTAGTAAAAATCCAAATAACTTCACAGATCTTCATTGTAAAGGGTTTAAACTACTGCTCGCTATTGCGCAGTGACCTGTTGGCCTTCAAGAAGGCAGATGTTTCCATACGTTTTTGTAAACTGGTCCCAACCATTAAGCCAAAATGTGATTGGTTGATTCAGTTGAATAGCAGATGCCTTTATCTATCTTCTGATGGCCTAGCCAATGGCTGACTTAGCTAGCTAGATTTATCTCCCCAGAGACCAGCAAAGTCTTCAGTGTTAACCCTTTCCTTTCCAACAAAAACTGAAGGGCTAAGGATTTATAAAATAATGATTATTATTATAACGATAATTACATGATTTTTGTGTAATTATCGTTATTATAATAATCATTATTTTATAAATCCTTAGCCCTTCTCTGAAGGCGTATAAGGCCCATTGTTCCCCACTGTGTTTGGGTTAGTAATAATTTGTAGAGTGGCTCTATTTGCCCTCCGTATGCATTTTTTCACTATTCTGAATGTCTAAAGAATCCATATGTTTTTCTGAAATATTAACACAGAAATACTGTACATTTTCAACTCTTATGGTTGTGATTTGACAGTTACAATCATGGTCTTGAATTGGACTGGCATTCTTTTGGTCTTGGACCCCTTGTCCCCCTCCCGGTCTTGTTCTTGACCTTGACTCTATTTGCTCTGGTCTTGGTCTTGAATCGGTCTCATTTTAGGTGGTCTCGAACACAACACTGTGCTACAGCATACAATGACATTCTAGACTATTCTGTGCTTCCAACTTTGTAGCAACAGTTTGGGGAAGGCCCTTTCCTGTTTCAGCATGACAATGCCCCCGTGCACAAAGCAAGGTCCATACAGAAATGGTTTGTCGAGATCGGTGTGGCAGGATTTAACTGGCCTCCACAGAGCCCTGACCTCAACCCCATCAAACCCCTTAGGGATGAATTGGAACGCTGACTGTGAGCCAGGCCTAATCGCCCAACATCAGTGCCCGACCTCACTAATGCTGTTGTGGCTGAATGGAAGCAAGTCCCCACAGCAATGTTCTAACATCTAGCGGAAAGCCTTCCCAGAAGAGTGGAGGCTGTTATAGCACCAAAGGGGGGACCGACCCGATATTAATGCCCATAATTTTGGAATTAGATGTTCGAGCAGGTGTCCACATACTTTTGGTCATGTAGTGTACATTCTGTTCCCCTTTTCTCTCACAGTAACTTTCCATACACAAAATTCCTCTAATATAGTAGTAGAAGTAAATCTATTTCAAGATAGAACCCAACATGATGAAGTATTGTGTGAAGAGGAGTGCGGCTCTGTCGCCGCCCTGCTCACTATGTTCTCTCGCTCTCTGTCATGCTGCGTATGGAAGTAGTAGCCTTCCCCTGGCTAAGAGTCATTCAGGGGCCAGTCTCTCTGAAAAGAGAAACAGTCAGAAAGAGTAAGTATGTCCTCACTGTAAACTCAATGAGCTAGGCTAATTACAGTGATTCATAATAGTTTTGAAATACAGGGCTGTGTTATTTTAGGGCACACCATAACAAAACATTTTGCAATGGAAAACCAAAACACGGGTTTCTTATTGAACAATTCCACGTAGTTTGTTGGTGCCTAATGAACACGATCCTGTTCTATTTATAGCAGGTAATCGCAAATAGATATCCTTGTTAGCTTTAGTATTGTGTACTCATATTGAAAGTACAAAGGAGGTGTTTGTTAAGATGACTAAAGTGCCTTAGAAACATGGACCAGCGTGTGTGGGCGGGGTGGTGGGTAGTTTGGTTCCACATAGGAGCACTGTGCTGTCTGTCTCTGCTCTGCTGTCACGTGTCTTTGTTTTTCCCTTGGGGTTTCTCCTCCTCTGTCTGCCCAGCGTTGTTCTCTATCCCCTTCCCTTCTTCTTTTCTGTTTATCTGTGTGTGTCTCCTTCCCTCCGTCCCCAAGCAGCTTCGTCCGCTCTCTGAGGGAGGAGAGCCTCACAGGGCGCTCCTTTAACCCAATGAGGAGGGGCACTAGCCTCAATGAGTGAGTGTGCATGATGCTGGTGTATCACTCCGCCATTAGCTAAGTCAGTTGCACTCATCTGAGTGATAAGCCATGACAAATCTGACCATTTGCTTGCTGCCTCGAAACCAACAATTAACGTTTGTAACGATTGGCAATGACCTATAAATAATAACCTATACTAATATGGTGTTCATGGTCTTGTACTTTAACACTTTCATTTTCTTTGCATGTGTGTGCGTGTTTTTTTTCCATGTGTGTGTTGTGTGAGTGTATTTCCTTCATTATGCTCCTGTGTTTGTCCTGTCTGTCTCTCCTCTCTCTGGGCTCAGCCTGTCTGCTCTGGGTAGTGACACAGAGGGTGATGGGGACGAGCTCTTTTCTGACTATGGTAATAAACTGAGCTGCTTGGAGCACAGGTGAGCTGCAGGCCTCTCTTTCACGGCAGGCATCTCATTGCTCTCTCTCTCTCTCTCTCTCTCTCTCTCTCTCTGTCTCTGTCTCTGTCTCTGTCTCTGTCTCTCTCTGTCTCTCTCTCTCTCTTATGTAGTGCCACACTCCTTCTTAGTATCTCTTATATGACATGCCTGTCTCCTCTGCCTTAGTCAATGAATGTGAGTTGAATGTGTTTGGCCTCCAGACTGAGGACTTTTCTTGTTTATCCCCCAGGAGAGCAGCAGATTCGGACCCAGCCCCCCAGAGGAGTGCTGCAGGTGGGGGGTTCCACTCAGGAGAAGCCCATCACAGAGACCTCTCAGGCAGCAGAAACGGTGAGAGCAGTGGTGTGGGTGTGTGCTATGTTTAAAGGGTTAGAAGCACTAAATCACGCCGGTGTGATCGTGGGATTCAAGAGGTTTTAATTCCATGAATAAATCAACCTTAATTCCAGTCATAGACTTCAACTGCTCCTGTAGCCCAAAACATTCTTTTTTAACATAGGCCTTATTTTCTGCACACACACTCATCACACAATGCAGTCTAAGCATGTTAGAACCACAGATGAAAGGGAGTTTGTTCAAAGTATCTTTGCTAAAACAACTACTGGGATGGGCTATACCAGCTGATCATCGCAAATGTAGTCTAGATAAACCAGCTAGTGAGCTAGGCTATGCTGTCAAAACAAGCTAACTAGTCTTTACTTGATTTTAAATGTGTTCTGCTACTGACAAAGTCGAACTGCAGTTGCCCCCTTCCCTGTCCCTGACTGTGAGACAACACATGCTAGCAACTCTAAAGTAACCTACTATTGGCAGTATTCATTTCAAACTCACCGGTGCCGGAAGGTAGCTTGTGCATGCAGGAAAAGTGCAGCAGCTCTCTGCCGCGCTCTCTGTGGAAGAAGGGCAGGGGAGGGGACTTTCTTCAAGATGATAAATTATCCACATTGATGGGCAATTTGTTTCTTTTAAAGTTACAAGAGAGAAAAGAGACACAATTAAATACAACTTTTTTTCATAGGGCTGGATTTGAAATATGTTTTCTTCTTTACTTCTTGAATAATCTCTTGAATGCTTTTTTTTAAGGTACTTCTAACAAAGATAAAGGATTCAAAGACTTGAAAATGATGAATGATAAAACCGGATCTTCCGCGCAGGGTATGATATTAACCCAATTCCATGTTTTTTATTTCTTTATTTTAGATTATACTGTTTTGAATATGGAGTTGGTCCCCCCTTTGCTGCTATAACAGCCTCCACTATTCTTGGAAGGCTTTCCACTAGATGTTGGAACATTGCTGTGGGGACTTGCTTCCATTCAGCTACAAGTGCATTAGTGAGGTCGGGCACTGAAGTTGGGCAATTAGGCCTGGTTCGCAGTTGGCGTTCCAATTCATCCCAAAGGTGTTCAATGGAGCCAGTCAAGTTCTTCCACACCGATCTCGACAAACCATTTCTGTATGGACCTCTCTTTGTGCACGGGGCATTGTCATACTAAAACAGGAAAGTGCCTTCCCCAAACTGTTGCCACAAAGTTGAAAGCACAGAATCGTCTAGAATATCATTGTACGCTGTAGCGTTAAGATGTCCCTTCACTGGAACTAAGGGGCCTAGCCCGACCATGGAAAAACAGCCCCAGACCATTATTCCTCCTCAACCAAACTTGGGGCAGGTAGCATTGTCCTGGCAGAGAAAGTGTTTCCACTGCTCCAGAGTCCAATGGCGGCGAGCTTTACACCACTCCAGCCGACGCTTGGCATTGCATATGGTGATCTTAGGCTTGTGTGCAGCTGCTCAGCCATGGAAACCCATTTCATGAAGCTCCCGACGAACAGTTGTTGTGCTGACGTTGCTTCCAGAGGCAGTTTGGAACTTGGTTAGTGAGTGTTACAACTGAGGAGATACGATTTTTACGCACTTCAGCACTCAGCGGTCCCGTTCTGTGAGCTTGTGTGGCCTAACACTTCGCGGCTGAACCGTTGTTTCTCCTAGACGTTTCCACTTCACAATAACAGCACTTACAGTTGACCAGGGTAGCTCTAGCAGGGCAGAAATTTGACGAGCTTACTTGTTGGAAAGGTGGAATCCTATGACGGTGCCATGTTGAAAGTCACTGAGCTCATTCTACTGCCAATGTTTGTCTATGGAGATTGCATGTCTGCGTGCTCAATTTTATACACCTGTCAGCAACGGGTGTGGCTGAAATAGCCAAATCCACTAATTTGAAAGTGTGTCCACATACTTTTGTGTATATATATATATAGAGTATCATCCTGATATACCCCTCTTTGTTTTGCCAGATGACGACTATGACGATGACTTTAACAGGTAATGTAGGACATTGTCCTGTATCTTCCCTAGATCTCACTAGCTATTTTTAGATGCTGCTCGGTGCTCATTCAGTTTCATGCCCTATCTGTGACTTGAGAGATATCAATCTGAAGGGTTTCCCTTCTCTGTGTGTTTCTTGTTTACCACCACCAGCCATCGATCAGATATCTCCAAGAGCGAGGTGAGCATCGGAGAAGAGATCGAGGAGGTTTCCATCGAGGGACCCGACAACAGCGATAAGGTGTGTGGGAAGGGAAGGGAAAGGGGATACCTAGTCAGTTGTACAGCTGAATGCATTAAACCAAAATGTGTCTTCCGCATTTAAGCCAACCCCTCTGAATCAGAGAGGTGCGTGGGGCTGCCTTAATCGACGTCCACGTCATCGGTGCCTGTGTGTCATAGTCATAGGAACGGCAACAGGCAGTCAACCCTACATATGTGTAAAGCTACTCAGCAGTGGGCCCTTCTTGTAGTTACTACAGTTTTAGGTTGAGTTTGACATAAAGGCACTATGTACAGGAAAGGGAAGCTGGTTGTTGACTTCCACTTGCAAATGTCAGAGTATATCAATCAATTGGTGAAAAGATTCCAGTATAGGGTGGGGATAGGAATCAAAATGTAATCGACAGTTGATATTCTCTTTTGAGTACATTCAATTAGCTAAATGTTTTTTTACATTTTTACATTTTAGTCATTTAGCAGACGCTCTTATCCAGAGCGACTTAGTTAGTGAGTGCATACATTTTTCATACTGGCCCCCCCGTGGGAATCGAACCCACAACCCTGGCGTTGCAAGCGCCATGCTCTACCAACTGAGCTACAGGAGATACTGACATGTTCCCTATAATCATGCCGTACAGAAATAGGTCTAATAAATATGAATTTTAAGTAAGTAGTTGTCTTTGGTGGTATTTCTACATTACCATGTCACACACACTCTCACCCTTTCTTTTCTCCCCCCCATCAGTTTGATGAGATCACTCAGGACTTCAGCGTATCTCAGCTCAGCCAGAGTCAAGGAGCTGACTACATGGAAGAGGTGGCATGACAATCCATCAGCCTTACACCACAAAGGCCATTTCTTCTACGTTAACTATTATTTATGTTGTGTGTTCACATAATTTGTGTTCATGGACCTAATAAAAGGACCACTGTTACCAAGATTGTTCTTGAGCAAGGTTTTTATTGTGATCCTTTTTTTAACTTTGTTTAGTATACAGATGACTAAAGGTTCTCAGGGGTGACATGTTGAGACATCAAATACTTTTTATGTCAATCTGAAACCACAATGTGGGAGCTTACTGTAGTTTGTGCTGTGTCTAGATTTCATCCTACTGGCACACCACCGCAAAATGGTTCCATACTTACTACATTTAGTGAAAGGTCATGTAAAAAATTATTTTGGTTTGTTCAAACTTTTCATACCTGTTTGTATAACTTTTAATTTTATGCAGAGGATGGAGACAACCATAATTAATCATAGTAGATAATGACAACTATGGTATGTAGGTACATTAAATGGCTAAATATCTTTCATTTTTTACCTTTAAAACAAAATCCCACACATAAAGAAAGTCTATGTACAACAATACTACTGCAATATACCTCAGGTTTGAGCAAGTCATTAGATTTTTTTAATTTAAATTCCAATGTACCCAACATTCAAAATAGTTGAATGATTGGAAGTGAGTAAAACAGTCAATATGTTTCAAAAGTTTATTAGGTACACCCATCTAGTACTGGGTGGGACCCACTTTTGCCTCCAGAACAGTCTGAATTCTTCGGGGCATGGAAACATTGCTCAATTGGTATCAAGGGACCTAATGTGTGCCAGGAAAACATTCCCCACACCATTACACCACCCCCACCAGCCATTGACACCAGGCAGGATGGGGCCAAGGACTGATGCTGCTTATGCCAAATCCTGACTGTCATCAGCATGATGCAACATGAACCAGGATTCGTTGGACCAGGCAATGTTTTTCCACTCCTCAATTGTCGAGTGTTGGTGACCACGTGCCCACTGGAGCCACTTCTAATTGTTTTTAGCTCATAGGAGTGGAACCCGGTGTGGTCGTCTGCTGCAATAGCCCATCTGTGGACAAGGACCAACGAGCTGTGCGTTCCGAGATGTCGTTCTGTACACCACTGTTGTACTGCCCGACTGTTTGTGGCCCGACTGTTAGCTTGCACGATTCTTGCCATTCTCCTTCGACCTCGCATCAATGATCTGTTTTCGCCCACAGGACTGCCGCTGACTGGATGTTTTTTGTTTGTCGCACCATCCTCGGTAAACCCTAGACACTGTTGTGTGAATAGCTCAGGAGGTCGGCCATTTCTGAGATACTGGAACTGACTTGCCTGGCACCGACGATCATACCCCGCTCACACTCTAATGTTCAATCGAACGTTAACTGAATGCCTCGATGCCTGTCTGCCTGCTTTATATAGAAAGCCATGGCCATGTGACACTGTCTGTAGGAGTGAACCATTTTTGTGAACTGGCCACTGAGTGTATAGTGAGCATATTTCTTGAGTTGCCCTGCTTTATCTTGTGGTTATGTAGGTGTGTCAGGCTGCCAACTGAGGTTTTGATTTGATAACTTCACTTCACAGTGCATGCAGTGACGCTGCTTGGCCACACACATGTACGCTGACAGTCTAGGTTGATCAAACTGACAAAAACGTTACTTCTTCCTTGTTGATCAGACATACTGTTATCTCTGAATGAGATATTCTGAGGATCACAGCTTCACTTCTTCAAACTTGGCTAAGAGAAGTCCAAAGAGCCTTTTGGAACTTGATTACTCAGTTATTCTGGTAAATCCTCTCTCACACAACACATGGAATTATATGTGACCTAGGCAATCTTAGCATGTTTTTAAAAATATATATATAATTTACTTGTATTGTTATATTGTAAGAGGAAAAACTGCTGGGTTAAATATGTTCAATATGCATTTAAATGTTTATTTGGAAACAGATGATACTGTATGTAAAAAGATCTTACTGTGGATTACATTGTATCTATTGTAATCAAATTTGTTGATTTCTAAATCATGTCCTACCTGAAATTGACACAGCTGCACCATTTTGGAATCATTTAAATTCTACTGTTGCCGGTCTTGTCTGACATTGTATTGTCTGCATTGATGCACTTTGGACCATTTTATTACCATTCATTCTTTTCACATACACTTTTTATTAAAACAGTTGTGTACAATAGGTTCATTCTACTTGAGACTGCTTTAATTGTTTGTTTAGGTTTATTATGCAGTCTGAACTCACTTTACCTTTAAAATATATCTCAGGATCTTGCTGGAATGTTGCATGAACTCTGCACCTAGGGAAGCTAGGGAAATGGCTACTCTATGCAAAGAATAAGCAATGTCTCACAAAACATATTGGACAACATAACCTATGCAAAAGCCTTTGACTAAGCTGTCTGGTCCAGATTGATCCTTCATCAGGGACCCACATGCACAGCCCAGATAGAACAGAAATTGTTGTAATTAGCCCACCATCACAAATAGTTCAGAAAAGAAATAAAAAAATTAAGCAAATGGGTTTTATATTTAGATGACCTCAAAGAGAGATGTATAGACCTAGGTTATTATAGTAAACTAAAACAAAACTAAGCATGAAGAAACAATTTAGTAAACTGAAATCAAATAACAAATCCGTTTGAAAAACAACAACTACACTGAAACTATCTTTGACTCCAAAACAAAATTAAATAAAAACCATAATTAATTATTTAGTTAAACTTTGGCCAAAAATCGAATGGGGGTTTTCAATATATTTCATAGTTTTGATGTCTTCACTATTATTCTACAATGTAGAAAATAGTACAAATTAAGAAAAATCCTGGAATGAGAAGGTGTGTCCAAACTTTTGACTGGTACTGTATATACAACACCAATGGCTCCTAGCATCCAAGGCATGATTTCTGTCATTAACACTTAAACTAAAACTGAAATTAAATCATATAAAAACAAAATATACATATTTTGATACAACTAAAACTAAATAAAAACTAGCAAATCAGGTCTGAAAACTAACAGAAACTAAACTGAATTTCTAATTAAAATGGAAAAACTATGTAATGACCAACTTACAAAGAATTACCTAATTCTAACGCCCGCATTAACCCTTAGTCGCAATACTGGGATAAAGTGCTGTGTGTCATTGTACACTACATTTAAACCACAGTTGTTCAATTGAGATACTTAACTACACTCTCATGCATTTACAGAGGGAATTGGGTCACTCATGCAGTATTGGGGTTATGACCTGGTTTCTCTGCAAGTTTCCAATCTCTGCATCACACCACACAACATTGCTAACCCCAATCATCCCCAGATTACTTAATAGTCACACTTTTGGAAGGATGTTAATTAACTACCATCAGATCTTTGCAAAAATCCAAAGGCTTTGTAGTTTATGTATATAGATTGTAGTATGTCATGAGAGTAATGCATTTTTGAGTTTGAGTACGTACAGTACTGTATGTTGAAAATAAATGATACATTCTGTCAAATTCCATGTGTGGTAAATGTAAGGCCTGTTCTTCTCTGAGTACACTCTCTCTCTCTTTGTCAATAGGAGAAAATGGATGATACAGATTATATGGACTCAACAAATGGCATTACAGAGGACTATGGTGTGATTGATTATGTGGAGCCATGTCAAATGACAAAAAACAAAAGTGTGGAGAGAGTGGTGCGACTCTACATCCACTCTGTCATCTGCATCCTGGGCTTACTGGGAAACATCCTGGTGATCGTCACCTACGCCTTCTACAAGAAGGCCAAGTCCATGACGGACGTCTACCTTCTGAACGTGGCCATAGCCGACATGCTGTTTGTGGCGGCTCTGCCCCTGATAATCTACAACGAGCAGAGTGGCTGGGCCATGGGGACGGTGGCCTGTAAGATTCTCAGAGGGGCCTACGCCATCAACCTGTACAGTGGCATGCTGCTTTTAGCCTGTATTAGCACCGACCGCTACATTGCTATTGTCCATGCCCGCCGCTCCATCAGGCTCCGCTCCAGCACTCTCCTCTACAGCCGCATCATCTGTGCTACAGTCTGGAGCCTGGCCCTGCTCCTCTCCATCCCCACCTTTGTCTACTACGAGCGTTACGTTCCTGCACACAGCTTCTACAGTGGAAGTGAGTATGGATTCTATGATTACAGCAATGCTACGACACCTGTTGGTCTGAAGAACACTATATCCTCAGAGTCAGAGGAGGACTCTGTGGTCTGCAACTTCAGGTTCCCGGACAAAGCCACGGCCCGCCAGATGAAGGTCCTGGTCCCCAGCACCCAGATGGCGGTGGGCTTCTTCTTGCCTCTGTTGGTTATGGGCTTCTGCTACGCCAGCGTCATTGTCACCCTGCTGCGCGTCAAGAACTTCCAGAGACATAAGGCGATGCGCGTGGTGCTGGCCGTTGTGGTGGTGTTCATCGCCTGTCATCTGCCCTATAACGCCGCCCTGCTCTACGACACGGTCCACATGTTCAAGCTCCAGCCGTGCAGGGAGGTGGACACCACCCAAGTGGTCAAGACGGTGACGGAGACGGTGGCCTACCTGCACTGCTGCCTTAACCCGGTGCTGTATGCCTTCATTGGGGTGAGGTTCAGGAACCACTTCAAGAAGATTGTGGAGGATGTGTGGTGCATGGGGAAAAGGGTCATGAACGCCCGACGCTTCTCCAGGGTCACGTCCGAGATCCACGTCTCCACCGCTCGTAGGTCTGTGGACGGATCCTCTACCGACAACGCATCCTCTTTCACCATATGAGGAGGAGACCCTTTGGTGGAGACTGCTGTTGCTTAGAACCCTAGCGTAGTCTGTGTTTCATTTACCAATGCCTAGTGAAATTCTACACACCCCTTGCACAGTCTTCACATTTTTCTGCCTTCAAATTAAATTAGATCTGCATTTTTCCTACTGATCTGCACAACCTATTCCACATTATCAAAGAGAAAGACAAATTATAGAACATTAAAAAAAAAAAACACCCCAGAGGTAATACTTGGTGAAATCACATTTGTATTTGTATTTGTATTTATTATGGATCCCCATTAGACATTTCTCAAGTAAGAATTTTGTTAGGACTGTCTGGGAGTGGTTTTAGTGGGAAGGGGAAGACTGAAAACTAGCGGTGAATCCCAAACCACCCCTCGCCCCTACCAACTCGCT